TGAGTACATTTTCATCTGATGGCATCAGCTTAATTGCCTCTCTAATTATTCAAGGAGAAGTATGCAGAAAGTTTCCTTTGGGTCGGTTATATCACAGTAATTGACTGGTACTCTGGCGATGCCAGGACATGCAATCAAAGAATCGGCGAGATGGAGGGAGCACCGAAAACAGAAAGGTCACAGGGACAAACTGGCAGAAACCACTGACCAGAAACCCGAACGACTCGCCCAAGGACATGCCTGGTGTTCCTCAAATTAGCCTCTCATCTTGGGTGTGTGAGCAGGAGTACAGATGTATGGAAGACCCCACAGCATAAATAGCAGCAGCCGGGCACGTCGATCTGCCACGCTTTCCTTGAAAGGACCTCTCCTATGAGGACAGGCTGAGAGAGTTGGGCTTGTTCAGTCTGGAGAAAAGAAGGCTGCGGGGAGACCTGATTGCGGCCTTCCAGTACCTAAAGGGGGCCTATAGGAAAGATGGGGAACGTCTTTTTAGTAGGGCCAGCTGTGTTAGGACAAGGGGAAATGGTTTTAAACTAGAACAGGGTAGGTTCAGGCTAGAGGTAAGGAAGAAATTTTTTACAATGAGGGTGGTAAAACACTGGAACAGGTTGCCCAGAGAGGTAGTGGAGGCGCCATCCCTGGGAACATTCAAGGCCAGGTTGGATGGGGCTCTGAGCAATCTGATCTAGTTAGCAGTGTCCCTGCTCACTGCAGGGGGGTTGGACTAGATGACCACTAGTGGTCCCTTCCAACCCTAAACATTCTATGATTCTATGATTCTATGAAACAAGCTTCTACGTGCACGCCCAAGTCATCACCTACAGCTCTTGGTGAGGGAAGGCGGGGAAGCTTGAGAGAATTTTGGAGAAAGAAAGAGGGAAAAGCAAGTGTTCACGTCCCTTGGTCACTGTATTCTCTAACGATACGGAAAGATGGCAAGCAGAAGGTTCCACAGGTGACGTCATCCATGAGAACCTCGGTGGGCCTGGATGCCAAAAGTGGGCAGGGTAGTAGCAGGATACTGTAAGAGTAAGGAATCCCAGGGGTATGGTTGATAGTTACATGGGGTTTTTTTTCCACATCTGCTGAGCACGCTTCCTCGAGCGCAATCTGCCGATGATCATCCCAGCCCCCCCATGTGCGCACTGAGGCCACCGGTCGAGGGGAACAGCAAGACACCACAGGTGGATGGTCCCCAAACCCTCACAAGCCCCATCTGGCTTCTGGGACAGCTGATGGCCCTGAGCCTCTAGTGGTCCCTTCCAACCCTAAACATTCTATGATTCTATGATTCTATGAAACAAGCTTCTACGTGCACGACGCCCAAATCACCTACAGCTCTTGGTGAGGGAAGGCGGGGAAGCTTGAGAGAATTTTGGAGAAAGAAAGAGGGAAAAGCAAGTGTTCACGTCCCTTGGTCACTGTATTCTCTAACGATACGGAAAGATGGCAAGCAGAAGGTTCCACAGGTGACGTCATCCATGAGAACCTCGGTGGGCCTGGATGCCAAAAGTGGGCAGGGTAGTAGCAGGATACTGTAAGAGTAAGGAATCCCAGGGGTATGGTTGATAGTTACATGGGGTTTTTTTTCCACATCTGCTGAGCACGCTTCCTCGAGCGCAATCTGCCGATGATCATCCCAGCCCCCCCATGTGCGCACTGAGGCCACCGGTCGAGGGGAACAGCAAGACACCACAGGTGGATGGCCCCCAAACCCTCACAAGCCC